CGGGCTCAGCAAATCCTGCTTGGCTCAGACTCTGCCCGATTTAGCTGGAGTACGGCATGCGGCCACCAGTGCCTGGACTGATTGTTTTGTCTATATATGCTTAGTGGCAATTAAATTTTCTCCGGTATTTATAGTAGAGAGCGGGTCTTGCTCTTGCTCAGTGTCTGGTTTCCAACTCCTGACTTGAGCAATCCGCTGCCGCCTCGCCTGCGCCAGTGCTGAGTGTGGATTATAGCGTGAGGCCACTGGGTGGAGGGTGCGCCCCGGCCTCAGACTGGTTTTAATTGACAGTCACGCTAGAACATCCTTATAAAGTATTACAGCTCTCCTTTTCAGAAAATATTTTTTTATGATGGTAGGTATGATTTTAGGTTAGTTCACGACTCTGAAATGCTTTAGAAACAAAAAGATGTTGTATTATGAGACGGTGAATTAAAAGCCCTAATATTTCTATAGGCCATGCTCCCTGGACAAGCAGCTGATTAACAACATCACAGAAATGGCAGAGAGCACTGATTTACATCCAGAAACCTGACTTTGTTTGACCTTGGCCAAAAGGGGGCACTAAGAAAGAGAGAGGCAACCTCTAATATTTGGAAACTCACCTGGCACTGTTAGGATTTGGTGTTGCTAGCGGTAGACCAGGTATTCATAGCAAGGTGATAATATATTTCTGCTGAATGTTAACAATTTCAGAGTACCAGCTTTAGAAGAGGCCGCACGGAGATCGTGGTGGAGCGAGGCAAAAAGAAGAACGCTCTGCACTCATGTCTGAATGAACTAAAATAAAATCTTAAGCCCTCCAGCTGTGACAGAATGGACACCCTGTTGGCAAAGGGGACTGCGGAAAAACCTGAGGCTGAGACACTGGCTACGAAGAGGTAGGTCAGACCCGCATGATGATGCACCTCTGTCTTTTTGGAGACATTACACTTTATAACACTGATACGCCAGATCGTTGACAGACCTAAGGCTCTAGAAGGCAAAGCTTAACCACTTCGGAACAAGCGTCAACTATAGTGTACAGCCACAGATGAACCGAGCCTGGGCGGTCGATTTACATTACAAGTAAAGCTGCCTGTAAAGTAAAACAAGCTTTCGGTGCTTTCAGGCTTTCCTCATCACACAAGAGCAAAATGGATTCATCATCAATGCACAGCACAAACTATCGTGTGGACTATGAGTACCAGCTGTGGGCAGGGTTTTGCGGCCAGTCAGCGCCGTACGGAAGTGATTAAAACAAATATATAGGCCTTCAATGAACATAAGAGATCACTTGACTTTTGGTAAACAACCAGTGGCTTGTCTCTGATTAACAGATTACTTAAGTTAAAAGATTCCAAGCCTTAAGAGAAAGCTTCATTCTTTAACCAGTTACAAGTCAAAGAATCTTTAAGTGAGCCTACAACATGTAAGAACACACTTTTTAAAGATGTACTGCCTTTTCAGGCAAAACAAATACAGCCCCTCCACACATAGACTTAGGGCCTTATTTGAAGTTCCTGTCTGCATGAACATATACAACCAAACTGTAGCACAGTAGTCTGGGCACATATTCTCAGGACCTCCTGATGAGGCCGTGTGATCCAGGTGAGTCACACATGTGGAGATCAGAATAAACCTCTTCAATTATTTCAAAGAGTTTGGGTTCTTTCCTTTTGACAAGATGGTGCTCAGACCTGAGGTTCAAAGAAGACTCAGGATTCCGTGAAGGCCCAACATCGGCTCCAGGTAGCAGCAGGGCCCCTGGAGCCACCTGGCTACGAGCTTTCCCTTGGGTGGAACAGGTAAGTCCTCCTGAGTCCCCAGAGCTCCCGATCTTGGTTGATGGTCCTGGTTGATCCTGAGCTGTGGATTCTTTTCGTAGGAAGTTGTTTTGAGGCTTCTGATCTTGACTTAGCGGTGCACTCTAACGGGTCTTCTCCATTGATTGCCTCTTCCTTCCCAAATTGATCTGAATTGGCTTTTCTGGCAGCGGAAAGAAAGAGGAAACGGAACTGCGCGTTGTAGATAAATGAGAGACTGAGTTCTCAGGAGGTGAGCTAGCGGGGAGCAAGTTACAGTACCACAAAAGCAAGATCCAGAGAATACTGTCATGTAAAACTATATTTAAAGTTTATGGACACGGAAAACCATTCAATATTAAGAATAAAAAGAATGGTTGGCTGGGGCGCGGGTGGCTCCACGTCGTACACTAGCACTCGGGAGGCGTTAAGCGGGTGGTATTCTCGTAGCAGGAGTCGAAACCAGCCTGAGCAAGAGGAGACCCCCCGTCTCTACTATAAATAGAAAGAAAAATTTGGCCAAACTAATGTATAATAGAAAAAGATTAGCGGGCAGTGGGGTGCATCCGTAGCCCAGCTACTGGAGTGAAGGCAGCAGATTGCTTGAAGCGCAGAGTCCGAGGTGCTTGAGCTAAGCTGATTCCACGGCACACTCTAGCTTGGGCAACAAAGTAGGACTGTTCAAAAAAAAAAAAAGATGCGGAAACGTAAGCAGACACAGTCACCTTGACTTATAATGATACATTTTGAGAGCCTGAGCCACAGTAGTGGTCCCTTTCCTATAAGAACTTTGTATTTTTTTATAAAAAAATAACTATTTTTCCTGAATCCTTTTTTTTTTTTTTCTCAACTGAAAATTGCTCTGGGGGACGAACTGTTTCCCTGATCCTGAAATTTGGAGCCCAGCCCTCAGAGCCTCTCCTCCCCACATGCAAGCCCCCAGGCGTCGCCTCCCCAAAGCCCACTGGGCACCTGGGTCTCCTGGTTACTCCTCTTCACATCTATGGTCCAGGCTTATTTACTGTCACCCTGGGAGCTCATAGGTGTGGCCAGGAAGGTGCTTCAGAGGGGTGGGGGCAAATGCTGGTGGCAGAGTCAGGACAGCCAGATGGTCTCAAGCCTCTGACCCCTCCCCACCCAGGGCTCTTGTGAAGCCTTACACTTGGCTCCTGGGGCCCAGTTCACCCCAGCGTCCGGGGAAAGAGCCTCAATTCTGAGCCACCTGAAAACTTGGGACACCTGGCTCCGCTACAGCAGCGGAGGTGGGCTAGGTGAGAAGGAAAGTTCTGGAAGGACATGAGGGCTGCAGATGTGTGGGTCCTCTGGCACAGGGACAAGGAGAGGAGGACTTGACTCCATGAACTAACCGGTGGGTGGAGTCGGACGTGTGGGAGCGTGAGGTAAAGGGTCAAGTCGTGACGCAGCGGGAGGGCAGTTCGGGGTTGCCCAGGCAGGGAAGGGGCGGAGGAAACGCTGGTTGCCAGGCTGGAGTGCAGCAGGCGGCCTGGTCCTGAGGGGTGAAGCCCGGGCTCCTGCGCCCTTTGGCTGTGAGGACGCTCCCGTGGTCCTCTCTCAAGGACAACCTTAGACAGTTTAGTGTGTGGTATGTTTTCTCATAAAAAATTAGTTTACCGTGTAAACATAACGTTAGCAACAATATTTTTCCTTGTTTAATAAGAGGGTAATATTTCTCATGACTTAAATTTTATAAATTTCCTTTATTGGGCTTATAAGTAAATTACCAGAGACCTTACAACTGCTTAAAACACAAAATTATATGTATCAGCTTAGATTGGACGAAATGGAATGATAATAATGGACGCCATTTTAAAGGATTTAAAAGAAGAGATACTTATGGTCAAAGACTTATGAAGTTAATTTCATTTTGGCCATTTAATCCTAGTTGCAGATGTATTTCCTTGCCTGATTTGAATATCTGTGGGAAGGTACACATAAGATCTGTTTCTGACTCCCTCTTTGTATTGTGTCATAGTGACATTAGGATTAGGGATTTGAAGCTGTACTTACAAGGGCTCAAAATGGCAGCTTGAGTTTTCCCTTTGCTCTTACCCACTCTGTCTGTCCGCCTTTGCTAGCCGGCTGGTTATGTGTCCAGTGCACAGACACAGCACAGTTTCTGCTTGGGGAAACAAATCCCTAACTGTCGTTTTTTATAGTAATTAAACTTAGGATAAACAGAGTGGTTATTAAAATCCAAAGAGAATCTCCAAACAGTGTCTACAAATGCATCTATAACCCAGCATTGAGACGTCCTGCCTTTTTAGGCCAAATAAGTAGACATCTTCTGTAGACTGAATTATGAGTAATTGCTCTCTTTCTGACACGTATAAAGCCAAGGGGTAACCCAATCAGAGAGAGAGAGAACTTGGTGAAGACTACTTTCCTGTGATTTCCAGGACTGTGGTCACACATACTCAGTACAGAATCAACATCTGGCAGTTACTTTTCAGAGGTTGGGTTAATTTTCATAGACAAGATGGTGCCAAGATGTGGGGCTAAGAGAAGACTTAAGGATACGCCCAAGGTGTAGCCCACGATAAGCTGAAGGTAAAGGAATGGCCCCATTGGAGCCCAGAACTGCTACAAGATTTACCTTGAGCTAATCCGAAAAATGCTGCTGAAGGCAAAGGACTCACTATCTGCCTCGACAGTCTTGGTTTATGCTGACCTGTCAAGATTTTGGTGGGAATATGGTTGGAGGGTCCTGATTTTGACATGGAGGTGCATTTTAAAGAGTCTTGCCCATTCATTGCCTCCTCCTCAGCAAATGGATCTGAATTGGCACGTTGTGTGCATTTGAGAAATGAAAGAGGAAACCGAACTGTCCTGTTGGTAGATGAATGAGAGACTGAGTTGCTCAGCTCCGAAGAGAAAGGGCACTTTACCCGTCCCAGCCGAAGGTTCGCCTGGGTGAGTGGGGTGCGAGTGGGAGTGCCTGCTGTGACTGCCCCTGGCGTGACTGGCCCTAGAGGGAATCCCCAGCAAGATTAATTAAAAGAAGGCTCGTCCAGGAAACGCACATAAGAGCTGATCACTCGGCGTTTGGAGCCCTCCCGGAGGTCTTAGACCCCTGGAGAGAGAACCTGAGGCACACGTGAGAGGCGGGAAATGACTCAGGGCTGAATCCCTGTGCAGTCCTGCCCACAATCAGCACACTCTGATCCACTACACTGACCCCGAGACCACAGTTCGGTTGCTTCTTGTCAAGAACAAAGGGAAACCAATGCTGTCAATCAGATGAGAGGCAAGGAGAATGAAGCCATCTGGGCACCCCGGTTGGTTCTCAGCACCTCGACCCACAAGCATGTGTGTAGATGTAAAGATTCCAAGCCTGCAGGTATGCTAGGACTGCAGCTGGTCTTGACCAAGGCTTGTGCATGCCTTTGAACCGAGGGGCAAATTTCATGCAGGAAAATTCAGAGCTCAAGTGGTCAACCTGCCACTATGAATTTCAAATGTTCAGTCTCTCAAGCTCTCTGTCTCTCTTTTTTCTCTCTTGCCAACACTGAACCTGCTAACTCTTCCTACTGCTCTT